CGATTAATTTATTTTTCCCCAAAGACGCCCACTCGAAATCTATTTTCGAGAAATTGTAATGAAGAATTGAAAAAGCGAGAAATAATAGAAATGGCTAGCGAAAAGTACTTGCCCATGACCGCCAGTTGTGTCTATCAAATGCGCACACAGCTTATATAAGCAGCATTACCATATAAAATATAGTACTTAACTGTACTATATGTATATATTACTTATGTAAACAACTGGAAGAATCCATGCACATATAGATGTTATCCTATTCTTAATTTGTTGGTGTGAATAAAGTGGTTGAGCACTCGGATTTTCTGCAGTTTCATTTCTTCAGAAGTCTTTTATAATAAATTCTTTTCTATTTCTTCTCTTTCTTATATCATATATTAGGTTTTGTGCTAAAAATTTCAACAAGTATAAAATTATACATTGTGTCAGATCACATATAGCTGACGTCTACTCTAAAATATAGGAAACAGCTTCGTTTTCGCGCCTCTGTTTGCCTTGCGTGGGCCTTGGCTGAATGGTACTTGGTATTATTTCTCTGCTCACATGCTCTTTTTACATTTTCAAGCAAACGTCATTTGATTTTAATGGCGACTAGAATTTTATTGCATTATTTGCACTTGTGGTCTAAGAAATATTCGGTCAGAAGTTGCAATATGTAAGTATATTTTTTAACTTTTGCACAATAAGAGTTGACTCAAATATACTCAGTTTGCTCGGTCAAAACATTTATAAATTTTAACGAGTCGTTTGATAATTTTCTACGTCAGAACCTTAAAGATCATCGTTTTACAAGATTGTTTGTAAGTACCGGGTCCTAGAAAAATATTATTGGATTGCTTTGGTGCTTAACCGAAAATTCTCAAATCGAAAAAATGTGAGAAGGCAATTTTATTATAACAATAAGGCTAAGGCATTCATATGCAGTAAATCTCTGTACTAAACAACCACACACATGTATTTACATTTAAAAATGGAAATCACAGCCAGTCAGCCAGCTACAGTATGTATATTATGCGTGCTTGCGCCACACAACTTTATAAGCAAAGCAAGCTTATTTAAAATAAATCACAAACCAAAGGCAAAAGTGTCAGCAATAATGCGTGCTTCAACTGCACTACGAAAGCATACTAATTTTTTTCACAACAACAAACCCACTACCATATTTACATAAGTATGTAAGTGTGTAAGCACATAGAGAGTTGCAGGCGAATTCACTTTTATTGGCCGTAAAACATTAAAATGCTAAGCCATTATGACAACTTAATTCTGCATTGACCAAAAGCAATTGAAAATGGTTGGTTAATATGTTGAACAGCTGACACACACAACCACACGCATACAAGACTACTGGCATTTAAAGCAGTATGCAAAAACAATTTAAAACTCAAAACAAAGTGAAATGTCTTCTTGACCGCCTGCCATTAGCAGTGTACGCAGTTTAAATGTCAGTGCGACAGGTTAGTCGCCATGAAGAAAGTCGAAATGTATTTTTTCTTTTACGCGCGCATTCCAATGAGTCCATTAACAAGCATTTCTACATTTTGTTTGTGTTTGTGTAATAAAAATTCACATTTTTCAATCGCTGCGATTACCGGCTGCTTGACCCGCATCGACAGGCCTATTTAAAGCTTAAGTAGGCAAATATTCGTTACTCGTTTAAAAAGAAATGTGGAAATTCATAAGCGGCATGCAAATTTCAAATTAACTGTCATTTTAGCCGGCTGTGACTTCGCGCAATGTGTCAACAAGCGTTTGACTGATTGTCATGTTTACTTTGCGTCGCTTGCAGCTCTGTTATTTTCTTTTCTTTGTGCGCTTTTCCCCATTCCATTCCATTTGTTTGTGCAATATGCTTGTTTGTTTACTCGTTGTTTTTTACGATTTTTTTCTCGCTATTTGTCCGCCTGTCAATGGTGCTCTTTCGTTATACTCGCATCGATAAGTGGGTAGAGTCACATGCGCGAGTGTTCATAATTCAGTTTGTTGTTGCAAATTATTTCTTCTTATTTCTTGTTATTTATGCCGTTTTATTTATGTCAAAATTTTCGTGCTTCGTTCCACTTTATGAAAATCATTCGGCAAACTTGTTAATTATTTATGTAAATTTTGTTCTTCGCAATTTAATATATGTATGTTTTTTTTTTTTTTTTGTTTTTTTTTTTTGCTCTCGCGTGTATTAATGCTGCGGATAGCGATCGCTCATTGATCACATGTGCATATGCGTTCCAACAAACAACTTGAATAATAGAAAAATTAAGAAATAATTTCTCATTTGCTTTATATTTAGCGAAACGTGAAGAAACGCCGGGGTCAGAAGTGAAATTTTGTAGATAGAAATTATTATTTTTCCAGCAGAGAAATTAGTTCAAGTGATAAAATAATTGAGCGAAGAATGCATGAAGATTGTTGAATATTAAAAAAAKAATACGAAACGAAGAGGAAAAATAACTTAGAATATAAAACGATGGATGTGAAAGCAATAAGGAAGGAAGGAAGTTATACACCATTCTCACCACAGTCGGGTCTAAATAAGCCTAACAGTCTCGGATTTTTATGTGACCAAGGATTGTACACAGAGTTCTACCCGTACAACAACTACAAATAAAAAGAAATTAGCCAGAACTAAATAAATGGATGTGAATTGCAGAAGGATGGCAAAAACAAGAAAAACGTTAACTTCGACTGCACCAAAGCTATAATACCCATCACAGATGCATTTAAGGGGCATCAAAAGTTAATTGCCTTGATTTTAATCGGTAAATTTTTCATCATTTTTTCTATTGTTGTCCGATAAGAAAAATATGTCTGGACATTGTAATATTGCCTTGAACAATAATCTGTAACAAATTTCGGGAAGATATCTTATCCAAATAAGATTTGCTTTTTAAGGCTCAGTATTGTCACTGGAATTACATTAAATTTAATTGAGCCAAGCAGAGTTCGTTTAGCAAAAGCAAATAAATATAGAATATTTCAGGCGAGAACTCAGAAGTATTCATTAACATTGAATGCACTTATTGACATTCGACAGGCGAGCCATAGGCAGCCAATCAGCCAAGCACTTAATTCATTACCAAAATGGCCAGCGGCGTATGCGAGTTCACTGCAATAGAGTAATTAAATACGAATTTGCGGATCGAGTAGAACAAAAACAATACATAAAATTCGCACAAAAGAACAAAACATAAAATATGTGTGTCCACTTCAAGAGCCAGCCGGCAAATTACGGAAATTAAACAGTCTAGACGAGCTGTGCCTTATAGAAGTATGATAGAAATGTATGTGACGCACGACACGCAGTGACACAAACCAGCTCGACAGTTAAAACGCGGAAGTAAACAACCCCCGAAAGCCGGCATACGGACACAGCGGTAGGGACAGTGTGCGGATGGTAATACACCGAGACCGGCATGCACAGAGCACAATGAAAAGGTTGGCCATTTGCGAGCATATGGGCACGTCAGTTAACGAGATGACCAGCTGTACTGAAACAACGTCAGTTAGGAGCGAAATGCGGGCTTTGATATAGGGTTGAGGGTAGTTTATTAAAAAAGGTCACGAAGCATACGAAAGAGGTGTCTGGCGGGTGCGCTCCGCAAAAATCATTGCAATATTTCAAACGAAATCGATAGATGCAATAAATTAAATATACACTGATGAAGTAAAAACTTTACGGCTCCTACGAAAAAATTTCACTACCTGAGTCGTGTTGGAGTTGAAATTGGACATAAAGAATGGAAAGTTATGCGAACATTTAACGCGAAATAAAGCTGTGGGACGATTATTAATAATGCTCTCATGTAGCAAAAGGAAGAAAAAATATGGCCAAGAATGCGAGCCGGCGTTAGCATGAAAGGCAGCTGAGAGGCACTAATATACACAACTCATGGCTCAGATGGCCAACGAAATTTGCATGAGAGCCGTAGAACCAGTTTAGCGACAAATGAAGCAAGCTTAAAGGCAATGAAATATATTTTTATGAATATGACTATACATACATACATACGTACATATTTGCAACGTATGGCAAAAGAACAACAATTTGATTGAAAAAAAGAACCGACTCGGCTTATAAGAACTCTAGAAAAATGGCATGCTTTTAGAACATTAATACCTGCAAAGTCCTGCCCACGGCTAAAATTTATTTGTCATGAAGAACACAAAACAGAGCTGCCAATCGGGAATAGCTTTGTTATTTTTTTAGCCCTAGGCTTATGTCTTAAATTTGAGAGCAATATATTTATAAATTTGCATATATGATATGTAAATCTATAAGATCATTACATTATTCTATATTTTTATGTACATCCCTGTTGGGAAAAATTATGTTAATTTTTTCATTTCACTTTTGCAATTCTTTAATTTGTTCTTTAAGCTTCACTTTGCCCTGCTCTCCTATTTAAAATGAATATAAATTCTGAATGTGCCGGCCATACAAGTAGGTACCACTACTTCTTAGCAGTAAGCATAAACTTCGGCTGACGCCACAATGGGTTAGTAACAGATTTGTTTGTCACATAATATATTTTAGTTGGTCTTATTGAACAACATTTATATTGATTTTACTTTAGTTAATTATTTCATGTAGCCGCTGGAATGTGGTGAAGTCAATTACATAACCCAGGCTTTAAATTACGCATCAGTATATGTAAATGCTCAGTTTTAATATTTTATTGCAGTAATGTTGAACTTCAGACAAAAAAGAAAGAAGTTAACTTCGCTTGTAATATCCTTTACAAATAAAAAATTTGTCTATATAAAGACTTGATTTAGTTCGTCAATTTTTATGACAGCTATATACTATAATGATCCGATCTGAAAAGTTAGTATTCATTCAGTACACCTGATTATGCTAGCAGGTTTATTAGAACCTTTTGTTATTTATTAAGTTTTTGAGAATCATGTCCCTTCATATACAATAAGTAATTTAAAAATATGCAATATAATTTATAGCTTATATAATTTTGTAAATTTATTTCACTTCACTTTTTCGTACTCACCCATAGTTGCGTTCCCCAACTCATCTTGTTGGCGCTTTCTGCTTGTTCGTCCGCCAGTTTTGCGTTTATTTTATTTAAGCCAGACAGTAAATCCACAAAAAATACCTTTTGTATCCAACAATTTGCTGTTGCTTTTATTTTTAATACCCGCTGCTAAACACTATAGATGTATGTTCACTAATCCTGAGAGCTAAAAATATTAATTGTTGTCTGTTCTAGTGCTGTTAGTGGGTTAGAACACAGCCGCCGACAGTAACAGCAGGCGGGTTGAAAAGTTACTTCTAATTCACAAAAATTTCTATATTACAACGAAAATATTAAAGTAATTAATTTACCAAAGCTGTAAAAAAAAATTAAAAGTAGTATGTTTGTATGTATAAACGCGCGACGTTGGAACGCGAGCAACGTGGAAAGAGCGGCGAGCTGCGAGCAGGTAGAACGCGTAGACGCGATGCAGGTAAGACCGGAAAGAAAATATGTAAAGTAAACTGGTAATAAAGCCGAAACTGAGTTTCAATTCTAGAATTGCTTCACACGCTCACAAATGTGGTGGTTTTATGCTTGTTTCTACTGTTCGCTTTGCGGGCACAACAACTTCCACTACTGCACGCGTTGTTACATATACAATATATATGTATGTATGTATATGCAGCAATATTTCAGCTTGTTGTTGACTTTTCCTGCACTTACAAAGTTACGATCATTGAATAAAAGTATACAGAAATAGTTTAGGGAAGCAAGCGTAGTGATAAATATAGTTCACAAAACGCAAGAGCTGTAATAACCGACAACTAACGCCATTAAAAACGACTCCACTTAAATATTATAATATACATACTACGTACGATGTGTGTATTTAAAAAATTCTGAGATGTAGGAAGAAAAATGTGTTCAACTTCACAATAGTACGAAATTTTTTCACGAAGTTAGCTTAAAAACGAACTTTTAATTCTATTTTTTTAACTTATCTCCAAGAGATATTGGTTTCATAGCAATATTTACACTTTTCACTATAAATTTCGCATTTTACGCGAGAATTTTGCCAAACACTGACGTTTTTATTTAATGAAAACAAACGAGATCGAACGAAATATTGAACAAAAAGTGTTCGATAACTGAAATTTCACTTTTCGACTTTTGTTGTATATATACAAATATTTTACTTTGTTTTAAATATTCACAAATCATATTTGTTTTTATTTACTTAGCCAGAACACAAGCAGGAATTTCTAGTATTCAATTTCAAGCGTGACACTTGGCAAAACGCTGGAGAAGTTGCATAAAAAATTCACAAGATTTCGATCTTTACGAATTCAACACAATAAACTCTATTATTTAACGAGCGTATTCTGCAAACCAACACAAAAATTGATGGGTTCACAAAATTTCGCACATTTGCATGGAACTGCAATCGACAATTCTCTTTTCGTTATTTTTATGCTTTCTGTTGTATTTACTTGTCATTCGTTGATTCCCACAGATTCTTTACTTTACACCACCGTTCGCAGGTGTGCAATTGTATATGTACATGCGTGTGATTCACCCGTCTTCTAAGATTTTTCATGAATTGTACCACAGCTACTCTGCTTTTTATAATTCTTTCCCATTCTCAAAGCCACCGCCCTTATTGGTTGGCACTTGAAACTCACAATTTTTTACAGAAATTTTTTTTAAGCACTATAGATTTTCGCATCCAATTACTTTATCCATGGAAATTTTTTCACCAATCACTTATAACACAACAATAACGCGGCGTTGCAAACGACTTGCCGCAGCTAACACCCCATTTACCTGGAAATTCACTCGAAAACTGACTCGTTCTTGGTTATCAGGTTTCGTTAACACTGGCAATGCCAGTGCGGCCAAACCAACAAACGCAATTAGGGTTGCATTTTGGGTGTGATTCGAATTGAAACAGTATTTGGTTTTATAATAATGTATTTCGAGATTGACAACTTCGTTGCTGTAAAGTCCAATTAGAACCCGGGTTTTCATGTTGAATATATTGGGTAAATATCAATTATTAACAATTAAAAATAGCTAAAAATCGTCGTCACCGTAAAGGACCATGATCATCGTAGAAGGTGGTATGAACCTAAATTTTGTCTGATTAACGCTTTTGATTCATTTTTGTTTTGTTAGATTCTGAAAATTTTCGACAAACAGTCCTAACTACCGAAATACGTTTTTGCAAATTATTTTACAAACAATAATTTATGTTCAAATTCTTGAATTTCTTTCATCAATGTCAATTGCATTTTCTTTCATCGTCTGTCATGTTATCTCTTCTTGATCACCTTTCCCTGATGACCTGTCATGTTATAGGTTAACTTTCTTTTTTAAAGATATAAGTCGTTCTTTTAGAAATATTTATATTCAAGAATTTTTTAAACCTCTGTTCTTCTTCGAAGTCTGAAATGATATTTACTCAGCAACTTTTTTTAAGATTATTTAGCGAATATTTTTATCTGCAACAACAATGACAACCATAACTAGCATATGCTCCTCCAGATATCTTCCAGATTAAACCTCCAGATCAGATAAAACTAATTCCCATAAACAAGTTTAAAAAGCGCATCACACTACTTAGTAACAGAAATCATTGTATGCATTGATGCGTTTATGTTTTTTTTTTATTTTGACTTAAAATAGTTATTGCAATTATCTATTATCTCATTTCTACCTTCAACGGTTTTCGCAATTTCGTTTGTATCCATACACGATACATTTTCAACATGCGTCCACGATTTACTTGCAATCGTCGATCCACAACACTTTGCTCCTCCACAAACCCAGCTTTGCAGAATAGGTCTCTCACCTCTTCCTGTGTGAAAAAGTATACCATTGTCCCGTCACCGCGCACATAAAAATTATCCTCCAAACATTTGCCACTTTTGAAACGCAGCTGCGCCATGTCATAGCGACCATAGTCACGAAAGAGTACCAAACCACCTGGGCGCAAGTAACGAAAACAATTGGCAGCAACACGACTCATTTTTGTAGGTTCAATAGCCGAGAGAACGAATATTAGCACAATTATATCCAATGTATTCTCAGCAAATGGCACTGACCAATCTTCAAGTGTCGCATCCATTACAAAGACTTCACAACGTTTCGGGTCATATTCCTTATTCTCACGCAATATTTCGATTGCTCGTGAGGAAAAGTCACATCCATAGACTTTTAGATTCGGCTCCTGACTATACTTCAAAATCGGCAGAATAGTATTTCCAACTCCACAGCCTAATTCAAATATGCTGCGTGGCACTTGTACTTCATCCACAGACGGGGCAGCAAGTTCAATAAACTCTGTAAAAAGCCAATGTCGATCTTTAAAAAATCGATTCTGATGTACGCCATAAAAAGAATCCCAAAATTTATCAGCATCGTTCTGAAACTTCTCCTTGTCTTCAGCCTTCACTTTGTGCGTTGAGTTCTTAGTCACCGCAGCAAGCGCTTCTTGCTCTTGGTCGGCATCCCATTCAACGTTATCCCTGCAATTGTGCGCAAAGACAAAACAGATAATATTATTAGTATTTAATGTCATTAATACAATACCAAGCATTAAATTCAAAAGTGTCACGTGGATCTTTCAAAATACGACCGCCAAGTGCTGGTTTCTTGCGATAGCGTGTGTGCTCCCAACTTGAGAGCAAACGCAAATTTGCCAATATCCTCGTATATTTACCAAGCATTGTGTTTAAAGACATCATTGTCATCGGTTAGGAAACGATTTCCAAATTTCGGACGCTTCTCCTCGACGGTTTCAGTCAGCTCCGCAGGATTTGTCCCATTTCCAAACTCACTCATGTCAAAATATTTGAGGTCGTATGTTTACATTATTATACGTTCTCTGATTCAATGTCAATAGTGAACGTATTTAAGTTACGCTCTCTGCAATGGTTTTAAAATTTGAGTATTCACAGTGAAAAATAAAAAAATGGTAGATGGCAAGTTAAAACCAAGTCGTAAGCATTAATCGTCAAAAATCAAATTTCAGAATAATATAGTTAGTATATGATTTCAAATATTTGGCATTATTTACTTTGTAATAAATGTGAAATTTGTGTTTAATTGTGAATTGATGAAAAGAAAAATTGTAAAACTTGGTAGCTCTAAAATGGGAAGGCAGTAACGAAACGGAACTGTTGTTTGTTTTGATTCAAATAATTCTGCGTATTTTTTTTTTTGTTTTCGGAACCAAAAATAATATAAAGTTATATACATATATTTGGATATCAGCGTAAGTGGGCGTAATTAAAGATATTTGCTTTTGGCGTTTTTGTTTACATTTTTTGTGATTTTAACCGCTCACTTCTACTACCTGTTGCTTGCAGACCTTGTCCGCCATTTTATCAGTTTAGATTATGTTGATGCAGTTCATATACGTGTTAAAAGGACAACAAAATTTCAGGCGTAGATTAGTCTTGTGTTTGACACGCTTGGAGATACATACATTTGGTTTTTGTTGTTAAAGGTAAGAGTGATAACATGATAAACAAGTGCAAATATTTTAGTGAATTGTTTTCGTTTTTCTTTAGCTGCTGCTATACCATGGCCATATCCACAACAACAATATTAGATCTCAACGATGAATGCTTAACAGCTATCTTCGAACAACTAAAGGGAATGAGAGCGAAGCGGAATTTTTCACGCACCTGCGACAGATTCGCAAAAATTTATTGCAACTACTATATACATCAATTGATTGTCGAAGAGTGTGACGCGTATTATTTCGACAGTCGTTTAGTGACAAAATTTGCCCATTTAATCGGAACTCATATGTTTCCAATGCCAAATCTTAAAGGCATTAAATTCGATGATACATTTGCGCTGTTTTTCACAGAAAGATTCTTTCGGGCGCTCAAACGAGATCATCAAACTATAGAAAGCGTGGAGCTGTACGGCTTCGCGGATAAAGACTTACAAAACCTGTTGCCTTTGCCCAACCTAAAGCGTCTACATTTGAACTTCAGTCACGTAACTGGTAAAGTGTTCGAAATAATTTATTTATGGATTTAATTAAAATAACACTCTCTTCATTTTGCAGGCAGCTACATAGACCAAATGTCCAATCTCGAGGAATTAATTATCGATAATGTCCACGATTTCGAATCCAGACATTTGTTTAGCATTCTTAAGCGCAATAAGTTAAAAACGCTGGTGGTACGCGCTTGTCCCTATGTCTTCGCCAAAATTGATGCTTTGGAGATGTCACAAAATTTAAATTATCTACAAGAATTAGAAGCGAACTGGCATGAAATACGCACATGGCAATCAATAGGCGACCTGCCGCGCCTAAAAGTGTTAATTATCAATAAATTCAAAACATTACAATGTCGCAGATGTCGGAAAATCGAACGTGGTGATGCCATGCTACCCGCCAGCGGCACCTACTCTGGCATATGTGAGTGCGGCTTGTATGAGGCGAGAGAGTTATTCAAGGGCTTACGAAAAAAGCATATTTTGGAAAAATTAATTTTTCTCGGCTCGCGCATAACAACGAGAGATCTCACCTTCATATCGAAATTAACCAGTTTAAAGACACTTTACATGGGCGTAGATAATGTTCCACTCTACGTTTCGATAGCGATGTTTAATCGTTTAAAAGAGCTGGAAGAAATAGATATAGGTTATTCGTGGAAGTTGCCAATCGAAGCTTTGGACTTTTTAATGAAGTGCCAAAAGTTGAAATATGTAAATTTTGGCAATTCGCAAGGGTTCCCTGAAGAATTTATTTTGGAGGCAATCGAAGTGATTAGGCGTAGAGAAGTGCTACCTGTCAAACCGGTAAGGTTGCAATTCATGAATCCAGACTTTTCTAGAGAATTCCTTGAGGTTAGTGCATTACTAATTTGTATTGAAAAATATTTTGCTAACAAATAAATTATTTCAGGATGAACGTGTGATAGCAGCCAAACCTTTCCTGCAAATTGATCATTTCCAGACGGTAGAAATGACAAGACGCCTCTACAATTACATTTATTATTTTTGATAGACTTTTGTTAAACACAGCGTGATCGTTAGTATTACCGTTAGCTTGATTTATGCAAGTGCCAATAGCATAGGAAATATATATTGAATTATTTAACTTATTTATGTACGTAACTAATTTGCAGTATGCTTTTATTGTTTTTCAAATTTTTTGTGGCATGTAAATAATATTTGGATCTCAATAAACATTTTTTTTTGAAGTGAGCGTAAAGATTTTTTTATTTTATACTTTATATTTTTATATATTTTTTACATTTTTTTAATTTATTTTTTTATCTCGCACATGTAACTCCTACATACATATGTTTATAGTGCCATATGAGCCACGGCATGCTTATTCTGTGGCTTCTTTTAATAACTCGTACATATTTAGCTAAAAATAGGATTCTCAGATGTGATTCTTTGAATATAAATTCCTTTTTTTTTCAACTATAAAACGCAATTTCATTCATGAGCGTCTACAACAAACATATGTATGCGCATTATATGGCACTCCAAGTCTCCACAGGTCTCCGGGAAAGTTTTTCAAATGCGCCTGCGCAAACCGGAAGTGTTTGAAAGGATAGGAAATAGCTTAAGTGTGGTGTAACAGTTGTTAGCGGTCTCTTTTTGATGCACGTTCTTGGTGCGCGACCCAGTGTGGACAAGAAAAATTCCAACACATTTCGTAGTTGCGTACTTTCGAACATTCATCATACGAGCGCCGAGGAGCTGTGGCCGAGCTTTGAAAAAATTTTCGCAGTTGGCTAAATATAACCGTAAGTGAAAAAGTGCTCAACGCATGAAAATATAGGAAAATTAAATAATTATTACCAATTAAAGTGCAAACGCAGTGAATTTGTTGTTAAAAACAAAATTAATAATTTTCGAATTGTTTAAGAAATTTAAGCTTTATTGTGGAAAATTGCGTTTTTGCCTGACTGCCTAGGTTGGCGAAATACTGAAGTGTTGAACCAAATGTCACAGTGATGATGTGAAAATTTTCATTGATTTTTTCTGCCACCGCAAGTTTAGGGCTTTCTTAGCGTTAAGCGCTTAAAAAACTAAAAAAACTGAAACATTTGAGCTAACTGTTGTTTGCGTAGCTAATATATTAATTCTCTACTTTTTTATACAAATTTCTTGCAATAACATAATTGGGTTTGGCTTACACAAACCCAGCATATTTTGCTAATTTTCTTTGTGCTTAAATTAGAACAAAAAAAAACATTGCATTTTAAATTCTTAAAAATTCATTTCAACTATTTTCTTTATCTCACAACTAAAAAATGCCAACATTGCAGTGTCAGATTTCGCAATTTGAGCTCGAAATAAACTACAACAGCTAGTGAAAAGGCACACAAAGGACACAAACGTACACTTTTGGCGAGTCATCGAGTAAAAGGCAGGCGTGCAATAATAAATACAACAACAATAAACAGCAATTACGCATAGTCTCTACTGCTTTCGAAGTTCGAACGCATAAAGCTTGTTAATTTCGAAAACAACCCCCCGACAGCCCAGTCCAACACATAAGGCACGCAATCAAAAAACTAAAACAACAGCGCAAATTAGCGCCCACCACCCACACACACCACCTACCGTTGCCTACCGTCTCTGTGAGTGGTGAGTAAGAAACGTCAGTGGCCAGCCACAGTGTCACCGTGCTGCCACTTTACAGCTAGTTGAACTCAACGTTGTGCATTTTGTTTCTCTCCCATCTCCTTGTGTCACAGTCACAGTTACAGTCGCCGTCAGTGCTAGGGTACCTACATACATAATTGGCAGCAATTTTGTAGACAAAAGCGTTTGCGGTCTATCCAGTACACCTTGCCGCACCCTATCGCCCACACGCCTAGCACAGCAGCCGTTAGCCGTTAGCCGAAATCAGTAGCAACAGCAGCAGTAGCAGCGGTAGTGCCAGCGCCAGCAACTGATATTCCATTTCTCTCAGTGCTCAGTGCTTTTAGTCCAGCAGTCGCAGCGCAAAGTATCGAAACAGCGCGAGTAACATGTAAGTAGCTGTCATTATTGATTTTACAAATTCCAACTTATATTTTTGTTTAGTGTGCGACTAGATGTGTATAAGAGACAGCAGCAACTGATATTCCATTTCTCTCAGTGCTCAGTGCTTTTAGTCCAGCAGTCGCAGCGCAAAGTATCGAAACAGCGCGAGTAACATGTAAGTAGCTGTCATTATTGATTTTACAAATTCCAACTTATATTTTTGTTTAGTGTGCGACTTTGCTTTTCTTTTAATTTTTTGGTAATTATGTCTCTTAATTTTTATTGACATGCCTATTGTGTGGAGTGAATTTGAATGCGAAAAACGAAATTCTGCAAATGATGATTAATGCCAATTGTGTTGGTGAAAGCGCTGCGTGCTCAAGTGACCAAACAATTCATGCTGTTACAAAAACAAATACAAGATGGTCGTCGGCAAGCGAGCCCTTCAGGCGTACCGTTAGCCAACATGACACGCGTTACACAAACATGTTTGAACATGTGTATGAATGTTTGCACAATGGTGTAGGAAAATCTCCATTCCTGAGTAACACCGTTGACCGCTGATGAGTTTTCTTTCAATTTAATCCTTTACACACAAACATTTAATTAATTTAGCAAAACAACTACTAATATAGTATTTTTTAATGCATCAGGGGTGCATAATTGAGAATAAGTCAGTTTAAAAAATATTAAAATGCAGCGTTAAAAATTAAATAGCGTTATACAATACCGGAAATCAGCTAATAGAAATAGATTTTATATAAACTGTATAGTACATTTTCACGTCTTTTAATAGGAATATTTAGTAGTGCCTTAAAGATAGGCTCCAATAACCCAATACCAAAATTTCACAGCACAATCTATTCCATCGACTGAAAACGGGTTCCACGGAGTGGCGATTTCAGTTTAGGGAAGAAGAAAAAGTCACACGGAGCCAAATTTGGTGTATGCGGTGGTTGATGGTATTCATTGCGTTTTTGGCTTTAAATTCGGTTACAAAAGTATTGTTTTTGAAAAAAAAATCAGCTTTATCGGGACAAGGCGAGCAAGAACGCGTTTCATGCCAAAATATTCACCAAAATCATTCGAATGGACTCGTGAGCGTGACGATTTTCAACCGCCCTATTCATCACCTTTTGAATATTTTCATCAGTTTAAGGAGTGGAAGGCCGTCCAGTACGAGGCATGTCTTCAACGATCTCTCGACCGTGTTTGAAGACTTTGTACCACTCGCAAGCTTGTGTTTTTGATAAAACTGAATCAACGTAAGGCTTTTCTAACGTTTGCAATGATTCCGCACACGAAATTCGGTTAGGAATACAATATTTTAAACAAATTCTTTTTCGATATTATTATCCATTGTAAAAATCGCAACACACTACTGAGGTGTACCGACTTATTTATTATGATATTTTTTTTTTATTTATAATTTTTGCCTTTTCTACCTGCATACATTGTGAGATAAATTATAAAGGGTGATCGGTTTCGGGGTTCCCTACTTAAAAACAAAACACACAGAAACATCAAACTTAATTTTGCAATTATTTTTTGAAGATTATCTCTTTCAAATGTTGGCCGCGTCTGCGTCTCAGATGGTCCATTCGTTCGAGCATTTCCATTGGTAACTGCCAAATGACATGGATGATATTTTGCCTGAATCGAAACGGGATTGTCGGCATAGACTTTAGTCTTTACATATCAACACAGGAAAAAGTCTAACGGGGTGTGAAATCACACGATTTTGGTGGCCAATCGACCGGCCCAAAACGTGAAATCATCTGCTCACCGAAGTGTCCATCCATTGATTGATGCGATGAGTTGAAAGCATCGCCAAGATCACGCTTCAATTTCAGACATCAAATAGTCGGTTATCATGGCGCGATAACGGTCGTCATTGACGGTTACGTCCTCAGCGGCATCATTTTTGAAGAAATATTAAACACCAAACCGTTGTTTTTTCTGTATGAAATGGCAGCTCTTGTATCTCTTCAGGTTGCTCTTCGTCACAAATGCGACAATTTCGTTTGTTTACATATCGTTTTAGTCAGAAATGTGCCTCATCGCTAAACATAATTAGGCTCGAAACGCCGGATCTTCTTGGAACTTTTCAAGAGCCAATAGAGCGTAGCGAGGTTGCTTGGAAAGGTCGAACGTTTTCAGTTCTTGCAGAAGATTTATTTTGTACGCTTTAAATGTAAGATCGACGTAGAAAGCGCTAAGTTGTTCTATACGTCAGTCGGAGTTGCTGCGAACGGCGCCGAGTTGACTCTCCACAGTATTCGTGAACACTCTCAGCTACGCCAGCTATATTTTCCTCACTGCGTGTTGGACGTGGTCTATTCGGTCGAATATTATCCAATTATAAATGCTGGGACTCTAGATGGGTGATGGTGTTGATGGTTAGATAAGTTGAGCGGAGGCCGCGAAACACATTCTTTACGGAACGTGAAATTTCGTAATAAAGTAGAACGATTTGTAAACGTTGTGCAGATGTACATATATACACATGTAAGTCTTTCCATGATGAAATGCGACAAAACACTGAGCAAACGTATCAACTTGACACGACTTACGCGTGATCTGTCAAAACGAGGCTATTGAAAAATGTACCTCTATTCTTCTTCTCAGTTTATACCTCAAAAATTGTACTACTTCAATATAATTTTCCTCCTGCCGCTAAAACAGCAGTATTGCACTGTATATATGCATGTATGTATCTATGTTCTTAGTTACTAAAGCGCATACAGCATACTTATATACATATCTGCAGTAGCTTCGCGATAGCAGGAAATCAATTGATGAGACCGCCAAGAGACTGCCTTCATTAATTAATAATTATGTGCCAAGTTACAGTTGGCCACATTGTGGCGCCCTAATGCGGTTAGCATCGTTGAGGGAGAATGAGTTCGTTCCACTTATCAATTTGTTGGCGCCTTTAATTGCGCGACAGTGGAAAATATTTCCTTTTTTCGTTCAATAAATGCCTGCTGCTTTGACTCACGTTGGCACACTTTAGCATTTCTTTCCGCAATATTTTCATATTCCGATAAATATATTTGCATTCCCACGAACTTGGCACTGGGTACAAATGCTCTATTGATTTTTTAGCAAGTGCGTAAAAGAACAAGTGATTTATAAGGAAATGTGAAGTTGATATTGCTGCATCGCTCAGTGGAAATTATTTGTTTCGAAAACGTAATTTATATTACTTATTCTCTAAGAGAACTAAAGCATTTATTAACAAATTTAATAATTTTACTCAGATTACCTGCGCACAGGGTATAGCATAATATCTAACTGCAAAATCTGTTTTTCTCTAAAAGAGACACGGAAAAAATGTTAACATACAGAACCTTTACATTATTACAATTGATTTCTCTGTCCATGAAGAAAGTCCAGCACAAAACGTTAGCAAAGAAAACCTATTCCGAGAGGGAGAAAGGGATGATATATAGTAGTATAACGTATGCTGCGAACCTAAGGCGCTGTATAATTCTTTTTGAAACCTTCAGACAGGCGTTAATGCATTAAGCACTCCAATTGAAAAGTCCTCAGCCTACCACAGTAAAACACATGTTTTTGTTAAAATTATTATTAAAATTTTTTAAACATAGTTTAAGGGTGATACACTGATTATAGCGACTCTCCAACTTTTCAATATCATTTTTGTAGCACGATTTGTCTTTTGTTTCAAAATAGACGTCAGTTTGGTGTCATTCAAAATTATTTTGTGACAGTTTTGATGTTTTCGTCGGTGTTAACCTTTTTTGGACCGTTTCGCTTCGTTAAAGCTTAGCAAATAACTTGCCAATAGTTGACTTCCCTGGTGCGGAGTCCAAATAATGTTGACCAATCCAAACGATGCCTTCAACAGCAGTTCTTTCCCATAAAAGGAAATCAATGGATACGCGATATCCCTTTTGATCCATTTTTCACATTCTTCGCTAACTAAAAAATCACTCCGGGGGTTCATTTAAACGCAGTTTATTCAGACCAGCTATAGGATAATTGAAAATTAGGAACATCCTTTTTTGTGATTTCGATGTGTTTTCTATAGACACTTTTAATACTTCGACATATTTTTTACCACGAAATACCGGCATATTTCTTTCCTGTTGTATAAATTTTCATTTCCGGTTTACAACTTCCTGTTTGGTTTTCAAATATGTTTAATATCGGAAATATTGTACCAATAGTATATTTCCGGCCCGTTTTTCCATTTCCTGTTTGTTTAAACCGGAAACAATGTACTGTTATTTCATTTCCGTTTTCGATAAATAACTTCCTATTTTTTACTTTAAAAGCTATAATAAGGTACCGTTAATTTATTTTCGGTGTCTAAATACTCCACAACGGTACTTTAAACCGGAAACATCGTACCGTTATTTCATTTCCGAGATCTTCCTATACCACTATCCGGTTCCACTTAAACTTTAAAGTCGCTTCCACCATTTTTACCTTCCTTCCTGTTTGACTTTCAAACCGGATTTTGAAGAGAGTGAAAAATAAAACTTTATAGAAAATTCAGGCTTGTAACTAGAATATAGAGTATATCACCATAATCCATGAATTTATTGATATGATTGACCTATTGATATTATATTTCATTTATTTTGAGACAAAATTATCTTCGGTTTATTATCTAGGGTAATATTTACACCCTGAACAGGGTACATAGTTTAACACTCAAAAGAAAAGGTCGGAGACCACAAACATAAATTAGGGTGAGGAACTCAGTAGATTTAGCCATGTCCGTCCATATGTTATATACGCGAACCCAAGTTCTTTTTTATTTGCGTATAACCGCGTACTATATGTATAGAGCCGAGTTTAGAACGGCGCGCTAGTCGTTTCTTTTTTTCGCTATTTGGTGCCAATTCCATATCCTAGCCAATATATATATATATAAATATATATGTATCTTAATTCGCTGAACTATATCAATGTCGTCATATATCTCGTACAGTTCATCGTTCCAACGACTACGGTAGTCGTCGTTGCCAATGCGAAAGGACCAAGGAAATCTTTCGCAAAACTTTTCTCTCACACACTCGTAAGGTCGACTCATCACATGCTGTCTCCCAGTTTTTGAGGTATCGATTGGAAATCTTGAACACATCCTTTTCTTGCTGCTCACTTGTCGGAACCGCCGATAGCATATATTGTACATAGCACATAAACTGATCTATCAAAGTTCTTTTAAGAAATATTTTTTAAAAGTGTTATAGCTTCGGTGCAATCGGAGGTTAGGTTTTTCTTGTTTTCATTGATCTTATGCTCGAGTACATATGTGGATGATAACTTGGTAATGATCGAGTAATGCGTTCTGAAGAAATATTCTCGCTGAGCTGAAAAAAATATGTATATATACGGATACATATATGAACGATGGCCGCTTGAAGAATCCCATACCCCGGAAGGTTTCATCCCTGCTCTTCTCCTTTCTCTCCTTCACCGAGAACACCAGCATCCGGCGAAGAAATCGATAAAATCCATGATTTCAAATTACAACCATCTCCATTTTCTATTAAAAATATTCCATAAATAAGAAATCCATAAAATGAATGACAACTTTATAAAATTTAATTTAATTTCAAGCTAATCGGTTTCATTTAAAACTTCACTGCGAAAATGGGCAAGAAAGATAAGAAGAAGGAAGAGTAAGTAATTTTGAAAACTGAACAATAATAGCGTATTGCTAAATCATTTGGGCAACTTTTAGATGAACTTTTGTAATTTTGAGGTTAGAAGTTGTTGGTACACACTAGTTAATATATACATACACACTACACATACATGTACAAATGCACTTAATAAGTTTGAAGCTGTGTAAATACTTTTTATGTAAATTTGTTATTTTTCAATTATTTCATTTATTGTATTTTGTCCAAACGAAATTTTTCTTAACATTTATATTTGGCCATAAAACTTGTTGATTATATTGCTTTATTATGTAAACAACGGAATAATTTACTATTTATATAAAATTTGCGATTCTTAGGGCGGAACCAGCACCAGCAGCCGATGCCCCACCAGCTGATAATGCCGCAGGTGAGGGCGGTGATGGAGAGATTGTCGGTGGACCGCGCAATCCTCAACAGATTGCAGCACAAAAACGGTTACAGCAGACGCAGGCACAAGTCGATGAGGTCAGTATATGTATAATATATATAAATTCGACCGTTCTATAGCTGGTAACGGTCTGTTATGTGCAGTAAGACCGTGATTTAAGCTTAAGATATGTTCAATCAAAGTAAGGCTATAAAAGGCCACCTTAACATGTAAACAATGGGCTTAGGGGAAGATTGATAGAAAATGTGTTAGGTATTAAATAAAATTCTAAGCCAATCTATTGTTTGTTTCCAATTTTCAGCCCTTTTTTCAATGTGGCATCTAATGTAGAATTCGTTCTGTTCGAAGTTGTTGATAAGTGGATAAAATAATAAAACGGTCCAAATTTTCAGTAATAGTGGTCAAACATTTTTCATAAACGCAGTCAAAAGTCTTATGACTCTTCTTCGAAATCACTGCTGCCATTGTTTCAGATTTTTTCTTGCACTAGTAATTCTTTGAGCTCATCATTTGAAAGACTAGCTGCAGTTTCTTGAAGTATTTCTTCGACGGCTTCCACATTTACTTCATTTAAACGGGGTTGTTTTGATAATTCCACTATTTCAACCATATGAGCAGAGTTTCTATGTAATGTTTTCGCTCTTACTTAAATCTTTCCAAACGTTCTGCCATAATCCTTTCAAAGATCTTTCTTTTATCGTATTCATGATATTGTAGTTTTTCTAAAATTCTCTTATGGATTGCTTTAAGAGTCTGTCCTAGTCTACGGTGAACTTTAAAGATTAATAAATGGAGGGGCTGCACTTTTTTCCTATCACTCTACTAAATTATTATACGTTGTATACTTAGACTTGGTACCAAGGCAGCATTCGGCACCTTTGAAAATTACAGCAGTTTATATTGTATTAGCGAGTTATAAAGCGCCGGACTAGTTGTCTTTAGCCCTTTAGCATCTGGGTTACAAAATCGGAAGACAAGGTCGAAACTTTTCACGTTTCCAGAAGATTCAACAATCATTCAGAAAAAACTTAAAAGTTCACAAATATTTATTTCCTTAAGTCCACTAGGGTTTTAGTTTCTGTATAATAAAGAAATAAATTGAATTCTCTAACCCGAGTACTTCGATACAGACACACTTCAACCGGGGTTTTTTTTCTTTAGCCCCTCGCTATGTGGCTTCTAATTTTAATAAATATTTTAAATTCGTTTGAGAAACTTGTCTGCTCTCCACTTGAAACTCATTTGGACATAATCGTCACATGGAAATGCATTCTGCAATCACCTCGTTGAACAGTGTGAACTCGATTATATGGTTCACACATTCCGGTTGGATCGTCGAAGTATTTTGTTTTGTATAACTGAGCCGAAAGGTTCCTTGATTTCGAAATTTGCAATATTCATTATATCTTCATAACCTAGTCAAAGTATATTAAATTGGTCACATCTAGTTGTAACACCTAGATGGAAAAGTCGGAGACCTTATAAAATATATAGTTACATATGTACTATATGCTTATGATCAGCATACAGAGCAAACCTGATTTAGCCATATCCATCTGTTCGTTCGCGTAGATGAACTAGTCCCTCAGGTTTTGAAATGTCGTTCTGAAAATTCTTTTCCTATCCAAAAAAGCTGGTCATTTGTCGGAAGCACCGATATCGTACTGCCAACAACCGAACCATTCGACTAAAAATCTCTGTGAAATTTGTTCCTGTTGTAACAAGAACAATCTGCGAGTTGATAGCATTTGACCGGATAAAAATCTGGGTAAGTTCCGGTTACGTAGATCCGACTGTCGTGGGGACGGTTGCCATCAAAGCTGCAATCTCCGAAGAAATTGTTTATTGTTAAATTATTTAGTTTTGCAAGGAATATTTATCCTTGCACTGGGTAATAATAAAATATATATAATATGTATTATTGATCTATAAAAAAGTCCAAATTTGTCGAATCCAATCAGTAATCCTTTGTAAAAATCATTTACATATAAGAAATTTTGGTTCGGTCAATGGTTTAAAGCCTTTCTTCCCTTTCGCTGTTTGGCGCCAATTGCAAAGTACCATAAATCTTTCGTAGAACCTTTCTTTGAAAACTCGCAACGTAGACTCATCAAATGACATTGTAAATACCTTTCACAATCCAGCAGACAGGGATGATGAGTGACTAGTAGAATTTGGTCTTTGTTCCTCGAGAGAGAACTTTACTTCTCAATTGCCTACTCTGTCCGGAGTAGCACCTGTTGGCAAGAGTAATTTCGCTTTGGAATTGGTTTCGAACGGCACGGAAATCCGATCCTAACGGAGCCTTTATTACCGCTCAACGTTAGCTTACACAGACGGGGATACCAAATTCMGACATAGCGGCATAAAGGCAACTCGTCTTCGTTGAAAGCAGCTTTAAAATCGCCAAAGAGATGGCGTGTGTCGATTTTCCTTTCACGCGCCTTTTCCAAGACTTGGCGCATGGTGAATATCTAGTCGGTTGATGATTTTTCAGGCCTAAGCCACACTGATAAGGCCCCATCAGTTCCAATCAGTTGCCGGTAGGTTTTAATCCCTCACACAATACGCTCGATAAAACCTAAAATGCGATGTTGAGGCGGCTTATGCCACGGTAATTGGCGCAGATTGTGGGGTCCCTCTTTTTGTGGGTTGGGCTTAAATTTCAATCGTCGGACATGCCGCTCTATTGTTATTATATATATTATATTATATGTTAGCCGCTAGGTCGGATTTAAAGTTAATGTGCGAGCAATCCACTGGGTACAAGTTCATCACGAAACAAATTGCTCAACTGACACTCTTACTTTTACTCAATCGTATTCGTGTCCATAGGTCGTCGACATAATGCGAACAAATGTGGAGAAGGTGCTTGAGAGAGATCAAAAGCTATCGGAATTGGATGATCGAGCTGATGCCTTACAACAGGGTGCTTCGCAATTTGAGCAACAAGCTGGTAAACTAAAACGAAAATTCTGGTTGCAAAACTTGAAGGTACCGTTATATTTGTCTTACGCTATCATATGTGTTTAATGCATTTCTCCGCTTCTGCGCCACAGATGATGATTATTATGGGCGTTATTGGACTGGTCGTTGTGGGCATTATTGCAAGTAAGTGCTGGAGAGCGCAACGACGTTTCTCACAAAATCTAGCTGTTGACAAACTCTATGAATAATGTTTTTATACTTACATGATTTTAGTTTCAATATTTAACTAAGACACTTGCCTGACCTTGGCACACACCTATATACATATGTATATTTCCACATATCTTAATAACGCCTACTGAAATGTTAAACTGTGCACAATTTATTTATAAAAAAAACAATAATTTTAACTCTTTTTAAATAATTAACTAAATAGTTTTAAACTCTCTTAGTAAACTACTTATCGACACACTCTTCTGATTGAACAGCACATTTGATTTAGCAGCATATTTTCAGCACAAATTTCGATTGCACCGAAAAAGAAAATATTTTTCTACTACTTAGCTGAGAAAATTAATAAAATTTTACTTATAATTATAGAAAAAAATTATTTTCAAAACAGACTCACACAAATCATTACTCTCATGACATACGCATACTTTTTGTTGTTGTATACTATTTTTACTCTTTTATTAATTGCTGATAAGAATATATATATCATTTTCTATTTTACTTTTGTAGGTAATTTTATGTAGACTGCTAGAAAACATTACAAAAACAAAAAAAATTAAAAAAAAAATTCGAAATTCTTTGAAAGCCAAAATTCGAAGTTGAAATTGGCAGTGTGCGTTGTATGTATGTATTATGTACATATTTACTAGCGTTATCATGTGCAAATGTGCAGTGAAACTGTTCTAAGATATAAGTAGATTAAACGAATCGCTCAATAATCTGACAACAACAAAAAAAATTAAAAAATTTATTACTAAATTCTACAAAAATAAAAATTGTCAATTATGGCGCACTCACCGCCATACACACATACATACACAGGTATGCGTGCATGCAAGTGCGCAAATATAAATCCCAGCAGGGCACAATCGGCATGCGGAAATTAAGCAAATTCAATATTACAACAAATCGAATCGGTGTTAATTGAGTGAATGAAAAATTGTACATTATGCCATCAATCAAATATATCAAATCGCATCGGCGGTATCACAGTGCAATCATAACAAATGTCAATTGGCCGACGCACCAGGTTCGATATCAACGAAATTCATTTGTAGAATGTGCATTTTCGGCGCGCAGACGTCGAACGCTTCAGTAAACTGTAGTTGAGTTTAATTGTGCAACTGCTTTTGGTTCGTCAATTATTTTGTATGTATAGTACACACCGCGAAGACGGCAACACTGTCACTTTAAGTCCCCTGAAGTTTGAATTTCTTGGTTGCTTTGAATCCTCGGGATATCGCAAACGACGGGCTCATATGGTCTGATAGAAAAAAAGCTCTTCAATCGAGAACGTCTAGTAGTGTTTTTGTGCATTTGAATCCAAAAAGTATGCAACGGAACGGGCAATATTTGGTGAACTAACGAACTTACTGGTCGTGTTCTCAATGCCTGGCTAACGAATTAAGTTCTGGTTAACTTAACCGCTTTTGGTAAAGAACATCTAAACTGATAGATGGTTACTAAGCAGACATTGAGAACACGGTAAAAAACAGCCTTCTTTAAAATTTTTTATTTCTCATATAAAAAAGAAATATTTTATTAGAATTTTTTATTGTAATGTTTATTAAAAGCTACACTATTAACAAAAAAATTCTGAAATTTTGGGGAAAAATATTTTAATTTCGGCTATTAAGATGCCGTTTCCTGTGATCCATCGAAAAAAAGGGCGCCCGCACTGGCAGGATAACTGCTCACAGGATCATCTTAATTTAAAAAAGGTCGTGTTTTAGTTAAAACATTAACTTAGAACTTGGACGAAGGAAAAAACTACAATTTGGATTTTTACAGACATTTTTTTACAAAAAAAAAAAAAAACAGTGGAAAAGTTGCAATCGAAAAAAATCTTTCGTTTAAGTCTTTAAGAACCGTATCTCACAAGATCTTTGTACAATTTCATGAAGATCGGTAGAGTGGGTCTCGAGAAATCTTTCCAACCTACTTCAAAAAGAGGGTTTCGAGAAATTAGCCTTGAGTGCACAAGTTCTCAAGGCTATATCTCCGAAGCTATTACTCGGATCAACTTGATCAACTTGTCCTTTAGGACAATATTCTAGAGGCGCTATAAAATTTAATAAGACAATAAAAAAATTTCGATTTTTTGAGATTTGAGACCCCTTAAAGTTACAATATTTCGGATGAAAGTTGAGCGGGACTGACATTAAAAACTACATTTTCATATAGTTTAATATAAATCTTTATTATCGTCTTAAAACAAGGCCCCTGAGTGAATACAAGTGTGCCAAAGCTTAAGCCGATTTTCCGAACACTTTTTATAAGCATCGGCTGAGATGACCTTCATTACTTCAGCGAACTACTGTTAATGATTATAATGGACTCATAGCGTATTTTCTTCAGCAGATTTTTCAATTTCGAAAACTAAAAAAAGATGTAGACGCCTATATTCTGCTACTCGGACGAGCTCGCTGTACTCTGTTCAGGATTGAATCTTGACGCCTATCCCGCTCATAGGAATGGCCCAACTAGGCGGAGGCTTACGGAGTAATTGTTAAACCAGAGAAAAAATAAAAATGTTTTTTACACCTCCGTAAGGTATAGAACTATTGTATTCTAGAGCTCTTTGAAATATCTCGGAGTTAACTAAGTTGGAAAGAACATATTGAGAGCAGGGCTCACAAAGCCGTTAGAATGAAAGAGCCATTGGTATAAAGTGGGTTTTATCACCCCACATGATCTATTGGCTCTATATATGCCATGCCATGTTTTAAGATGGTTGGCATTATGGGAAAAACACAGCATTAAAAACCTGGAATAGGTGCAACGGGTCTGCTTGCTGGGGATTACGGGCGCAATGAGAACTACCTTATAGAAGTAAAGACTGAGGCAAGGCTTACAGCCAGCTGGCTCATGATTTTAGGTCATTAGCGCCAGGCTAGGCATCACTATAAGGCTCGATCTTGTTAAAGAACTCGGCTTAAACTGGTGGGGAAGTAAACACACCACTTCCATTCCCAAGTAGAAAATCTGGCACCAATGGTTCTGTGATCGCAAGTTTCAATGACGAAATATACATATACACTGATGGATTAAAGGTTGAAACAGTCACAAGAGCGGGCTTCTTCTGTAGTAATACGTGCACAGAAGGCAGTTTCAAGCTAAATGACAACAGTTAAGTCTTTCAGACCGAAATTCTGCGCATAACAGGAGATGCCAAGTGGTCTACTGCTTTAACTAACAAGTCTAAGTCTCGTTGTGTTAGATTATGCAAGAAGGCAGTAACCAGACGTTTAGTAAGTAAATCGGTTAAAATCATCTGGTCATATAGATGAGGTTGATGAGACGGTGGAAAATTATCTATGCCTGAGAAAGGACGGCTCTTAATACTGCAACTAAAGAGACATTTGGCAGCTGTGATAAGAAGAAGGAGGTTATTACCACCCCACTGATTTGCTGGATAAGTCTTAAATTGGTTACCAACCGGGAGCACTGAGGTTCGGCGCTCATGCGCCTTCATTTTCAAGCAACCAAACAACCACATTGAAATTTTTAAAACATGTAAATGTTAAATTTATTAATTGCATTTCGACATAAAAGTTGGTGCACCCTTTATAGTATTACAACTTAAACGTTCGAGTCTGGATTCCACAATAATACCTTCTCTTTTCATATACTCATAACCACATGATAGTCGCTGATATGTACTCACCCAAACCGTTGCATACTTTTAAGGGTTAAACAAAAGACTTGTGCGCAGAACTCAATCTGCTCAGTTTCGTAAAACTTGTAAAGCATATTTCTCCTAATATTTTCTTCGTTGTTTTGCGACATTCACGAGTTGTTAGTTCACGATGGTGTTGTTAAAAGTTGGTAGAAGTTCGTAACTTGTGATCTTGTTGAAGATTAGTCACAGTTCTCGTTTTTGCCGTTTGTTTGTTGGTTTACATGTGTGTTTGTTTGTAATTTGATTTTTCCAGTTGCGTTTACATACATGTCCCTGCTGTTAAATTTAACTCGATTTTGTTTTTTATTTAAATTTAGTATAGTTTTTTTAATTCTATTTTTTTATCTTTTTGGTTATTTAAATATTTTAAAATTCAAATTTCATTGAATTTAAACTGCTTACTGTTATTCAATAATAATTAATTTTTTTTTTCTAAAAATGTAAGCTTTAGTCACTATAGTTTTGATATAAAAATTATTAATATTTTTTAGAGCTTAAAATGTTATAACCTCGATAAAGTAATCCGTTTAATAACTTAAATATTTGTTTCACTTATTACAGACCATTTTTATAATTTGATGTTAGAAATCGGAGTTCCCAGCCCAGTTCTACAGTCTTTATGTTAGTGTTTTTTTCTTTAATTAGCACTTTTATAGGCGACATTGTGCAAGTCTGTCAAAATTGTAAGCACACATTTTGTAATAACGACAAAACATTTATTTTTTTTTAGTTATTTGTAGGTTTTAGTCATATCTGTCATGAATATTGAATAATTGTTCAGTAAGAGTTTTAAATATAAGAGACTAGTGCAGAAGCCTTTGAAAATTACAAAAAATGAAAGGAATTCATAGTAGGTTAAGGGGTTATAGACAGTTATAAGACCGAATAAATGCGAATTTTCCTTCTTCGATCTTCGATTCGAACGGTTTAGCCGTTTTCGAGTAATGTTGGTTACCGACTTTGAAAACACCATTTTGAGAAAAACGCCTTTAAAGTTGGGAATGTACTCTGAAACGCCTTTTCGAATTTGTGTGCAATTTCGAAAATATTCTCCGGAAAGATATGAAATTTTCTGTGTGTATTCTTAAATATATGTACAATAAGAAAATAGAATAAAAATTTAAATTTTTTGAAAATTATAACTGTTTAAAGCCCCGTTAGGGAAAAATATTTTACGGGCGATCAGAGGTCAGGAAAGACTGATTTTTTAACGGTTAAACACGAGTTTTCTCTATTTTCGGCAAAACGATAAGTTCTATAAAAAACAGTTATATTATATTGCAAGGTTGTAGATAATAAGAAGGTCTATAACCTTTATACAAAGTCGCGTAACCTCAAAACTTATTTGAATTACTCAGATTTTGTACAAACAAATTTTTCACGAAAATTTGTGTAAAATATATATTTTTTTAGATTAAATATTTTATTCATTTAACTTTTTTTTTATTATGCTATTTACAAAAGTCTATATGTTTTGTTTTATTAAAATTGCATATTATTATGGATTCCAATCAAATAAATTATTTATTTAGTTCAGTGTAAGCTAATCTATCTAGAATCTAGAGTTTAGTCGAATATTCGATGACTAAGGACTATCCGGATACTGCAAGCCGAGTATTGTTAACCGAAAAATGCGTCTATCCGGTTAATTCGGTTAGTCGAATACCAAGAGCTCTACTCTAGATGCCAAAACTGTTGAACCTGTAGATTGTTGCCAACTACCGCGTTTGGTACTGAAAACTTAAAAATAAACAAAAATTATTTTATAAAATTTTATACCAAAAAATTGTTTATAAACACATACTACATAAAAACGAAATCCGCCAATCCAATATTACAACAGCATTTTTTTATGCCAAGGTGCATTTAAGTCTACATATATATGAAAAATTATACTATTTCCTCATATGAGTTTAAACCATTCTTCAACATTGAATAAAATTAAATATTTAATTTACTTTTTTATTTAGAAGAATATATTTTTTTAATGTCTATATATGAATCTTTATTTCATTATTATAATTTTTTTATGAAAATCGCAAATAAATTAATTAAAAGCACATTTGTATTTGTTAAAAAAATTGCAGAAAAAGATGAAGATTAACTCACGTATAAAGTTTGCACCGTTATTTGAACTAAGCAATATAATATTTTACACCCAAATTAATACCCCACGAAAGGTAAACAGAAAAATCACCTACAATCGTTCTACATTGGCACAAATTTCAACATTTAACTAATTGCTAAGAAGCTTAAAGAGCTGTAAGAAAGCTAACTTGCTTTTATGGACGGCTAAGTTATAGAAATTTGAATAAAAGTCACTACATACTCTTAATAAAATGTTAGAAATCATTTGTTTAAAAAAATAATAATATTGGTAAAAATAATATTTTGAGGACATTTATAATATTAAAAAAATATGTTTCTAATTTTCTTTAAACTATTTAAAACAAAAAAATATTTGTAATTTTGTTCTAATCTTTCAATGTTAGATTATACTATAAGAGCTAAACAGTAATTTTAGTTATCAGTTAATGACAGCCTAAATAAATAGCAACTATTTTGACAGCTAACCTTGAGTTTTAGAGAAAATATTTGTTATATTTTCAATATTTTTTAGTTCCATTATTCACTCACGAAACTCAACGAGTAACTCATACCCACATGCTTCAAAAATATGTGCCACGCATTCACATCACCACACACACACGATCTGCATCACGAAAACAAAATAAAAAATTGGAACTTTTATTTATGAGAAAAGAAACACGCTTACAAATTGCACTTTTGTTTTTCTGTTTTTACACAATTTTTGCATTGTAGAAGCATGGGTAGTACCAGCCGTTTCTGCCGTAGACGAAACTGTTTCCGCACATTCACAACCCGAATACGTGCATACCGATCACAATAATAACAATGCTATTGGCAAACACACAAAACCATCCAAATCACACAAAAACAACGCATCCGAACATTCACGAACATCGTCGGCATCCGAAACCGCAAACGAAAACGAATCTGAAAATCAATCTATTAACGAACCTGAAGCTCACGCCTCCAAACACAATCGGCACGCACATGAATCCGAAAAAGAACATGCACGCGAACACGTGTCCGAAACTGAAACGGCACACGAAGATGCACCCGAGCATACCATACAGCGAACACCCACCAACAATGAGGAGGACGGCAATCCTCCGGCTGCCAATGCATAAAATAATCGTACAACATAACTCAAAATTTCCATAAATCCAAATAGTTAAACAAAATTGAAGATAAATTAAACATTACATACTCGTAACATACTGTAACCATTTTTTCACAACCGAACTTGATTGTGCTTTCGGCAAATTTGTAAGCTATAATCCGCATTATTTGCATATATTTTCGGCTTTATTGTGCGTTAAATTGAATTGAGTTGAATTGAATTTGTGTGTGTGTGTAAATTTCGTGCTTCACCCGATTGGATTTCAAGCTTCATCTTCATGATCATCAACGTCATCTTCCCGAAATCACAACCCACATGTACACTAACACATTTCCACATTTTGAAGGAAGCATGTTGCATGACATACCTAGCGATAATTTAGCCTTTATTCCATATCCACAATTTTACTAACATTGACAATATTTACCCTCCATTATGCTGTTTCAGAATATCTATCATGAATGATAGAACGAAGGGGGAATGTTTATTATCATTCGAAAGAACATTCTTTGGCATTTATTATTATTATTTTTTTTTTTTAATTGTCTTAGCTGGTCCATTTGTTGAGTCCAATTTTGATGACTCGGCATCATTCGTGAATCGGCCCAAAAACCACACCACACCAAACTCATGTTGTTTTCTGCATGAAGTGGCAGCTCTCGAATCACTTCCGGCTGCTCTTCTTCTCAAATGCGGCAATTTTGCTTGTTTATATACTTATATAGACTCCCCACGGTCTTCGTGTATACTCTCAGCTACGGCTGCGATATTCTCTTCACTGGGTCTCAAGATGGCTGATGGTGTTGCGAATAGAACGCTCAGTAGGTCGATTACGTTACAGATCGTAAATTTTCGTAATAAAGTAGAACGATTTGTAAACGTTGCTCTGGCTGAAGTTTTGAACGCAACGATGAAGCTGGATAACACAATAATAAGCTCTTACGATAATGATTCAAAATGGCACATTCGGCGCTAATTGAGCCCAGCACGCTTAGTCTTAATCTCTTCAGTAGTAGCCTCCATATTGGTCAGACATTTTTCCAAGATTCTTCGACATACTTCTATAACATTTTCAAGAATACATATACATTTGTATTATAAATACATACTGTAACGTATGTATGTCGCTTGATACTATAAAAATACAATATTTGTATACATCACTTTCATCAAGTATCTTGTATAATGATCACATGTAAAAATAAACTTCATATTTACTTTTCGTTATAAAAGTTCGTCGTGCATAGAGCCTTAAGGTTTTTCGAATATATGATTAAATGTCTTTATTTCCATAATTCTGCTTGGACAAAATGATATCATTATCAATATAAGCTTGATTTTTTTTAGATTTTTCCCCGAACATTCAAACATAACCTCAATACTCATCAGTACTAATACATTATATAATATTTACGCTAAGATACCCTCGTATCACAAACTACGATCAAAAGATAACGAAAGATAGCGTTTGTGAGTAAAATTTAGCAACTTTTATTTTAAAAAAATCATAAATAAAGCAAAAGCATTTTGAAAGAACGTAGTCAAGGCTGATTATTTTCTTTTGTTTTGTAAAAAAAAATTTAATCATTACACACACATACTTGCAGATAACTTTAGAGATAGTATTCAAGGAAAATAACGGATCCAGTATAAACGTAGAATATTCGCGAAACTATCTAATCGTAACTGGACCCTGCTGAAGCATTTTTTCTCTGGATTGCAAATTATTACAGAGTAAATGAAAGGGAGAAAGTAAATCAAAATGAAAGTAACCTAAAAATCGAAAAAATTTGTTCATTTCACTACGAATAGTAGTTTCGACCACTTTTGATGTTTCCTCTAAAATAACTTTACCTCTAATTTTACAATTTAAATGCACCATAAGCAGAAAAGAAAACTGTTTGTTATTTGAAAATAGTTGAATTTCACGACATGAAGATGGAAAGAGTTTCTCTTTTACCGTTAGGCACTAACAACAGCTAACATGAGCCGTCAATTAAGGTTCTGAGTATGTGAATATTTCTGTGCAAATCTTGTGTCTGACACAACTACTGACCGACTTTTAGAGACAGTTCGGAACCGATTTCATAAATAAAGAAAGCTATCCGATATTCGGTTAATATTTACAATCTTCTTTTAATTAAATATCTATAATGTCAATTTAATTAAATGTCACTTCTTCATATGAGGCAGTTCGATAGTAAAGATTTTTTCTCAAGACGGGCTCAAGACGATTACTTTTGTACAGATTTCTTACGAACTTCTTCTTCTYTATTGGCGTGACAGCGCTTACGCGTTTATAGCCGAGTTTACAACAGCGGACCAGTCGTTACATTACTTACATTCTTACTTGTATTATTTCCAACTTCTGATCTCAGGTCTTTACATCAGAGGTAAACCTTTCATGCTGACTCTTTATGTCTTGCTAATCGTACAAAAGACCCTGACTATTTAGAACTGGTTACTAGAAAATAGTGCCTAACGACTCTTCTTCTAAGGACTTACGACGAGCTCAATATTTCTTTGGAAATTGTCCAAGGTTAACTGTCCTGTCAACTGCCGTTTAGAGATCAAATAGTATAGCTAATTTTGATGCTCTTTTTCTCTATGGAACAAAAAAATTAATATACTTTGGAAAGGGTGTATTACTTTTTCACAAGGTCTTTTAAACCCGGAAGACAACATTGGAGATCCAATAAAGTATATATTATAAATGATCAGCATGACGAGCTCACTCGATCTAGCCATGTTCGTCTGTATGTATATATATACGCGAATAAGTCGCTCAGTTTTCTAGAAATCGAACTGAAAAAGTGTATAGGTAATTTTCTGCCCAAGAAACTGCTCATTTGCCGGTATAACCGATATCGGATTACTCTACGATATAGCCGCCATACAAACTGACCGATAAAAATAAAGTTTTTGTATGAAAAACTTTTTTACTTGACAAATTATCTTCACGAATTTCGGTACGTATAACTATCCGAAACTACTCTACAATCTTCGAACATACTGCTCTGATCGGACTTCTATATCATATAGTTGCCATATAAACTGTTTGATCAAACTTGCGTCCTTGTACGGAAACCATTTTTATTTTACAAAGGTATCTTCACTAAATTTGGCATGGAGTTTTGCAAAAGACTTGACTACACTTTCCGAACATATTGTTTCGATCGGACTAATATAGCATAAAGCTGTCATACAAACAGACCGTTCCAAATCAAGATGCAGATATTTTATACCATTTATTTCTAAAAAAATGCACCTGTGAAGGGTATTAAAGCGCCGGTGCAAATGAAGTTAATGTCTTTTCTTGTTTAGTGGACATAAAGCAAACTCGTTTAGAGTTAATTCATACACATTTTTCAGTAAGTAAGACTCGAATCGGTGGAGGTGGATGTGATTTTCACTTAATATTATTATTTATCAATTGCTTGTTGCTTTACTTATGCACATATATACATATATATATAACATATACATAAATATCACTTGGTTACTTGTCGAACATTTACGCCGCACTACTAATATTTTGATCGTAGTTGTACATACAACCTATTTCACACAAGCATCAGTACCGTAATTATTTGAAGTACTGTAATGTATACCAATTACAATGTGTTAAGCATAACTGTATTAACGTATGTATGTATGTAAATGTTCACTCATATTTTATGTAATTACTTCAGTGTCATTGAAACTGTTTGCATTCCATTGCAAAAAAAAAAAAAAATCAACAAAAATATTTGCTTAAATGTTTTTAACCATGGATTTCGATTTTTCTTCCCTATCACCACGCAGATAAACTAGGATTAATAGGCGGCGAAACACAGCCACAATATCCACAGTATCCACAATACATGCCACCACCACCACCACAACAGCAGGCACAAGCGCCAGCCGGCGGCACTTCATCATTGGTTGACGGCGGCAGCGCAGGCAACAAAGAGCAGCACGGTGCAGTATAAAGCTTTTCTTCAAATGTGCTAAGTTAAACTGAGGACAGTAGAGCAAAACAAAACCACTAAAACCAAAAAAAAAAGAAAACAAAACCAAAACAAAAAATCAAGAAAAGTATACTTCAAACCATTAGAAAAAAATATTTAAAGAATTAACAGAAAATTTGCATGAATGTCAGTGCAACAACTTGAGGCAATTGCAGACAGTGCGCAAAATTCTTAGCAGGCGAACACATAACCTCAAAACAAAAAACATGAAATAATTAATTAAGCGTTGAAGTGAGTTTTATTGGCGCGCCTTTTGGCATTTTTTCGGCGAATTAATTTGGCAGCGGCGGCGAAATGCTGGCGGGCAACTTGCTTACATCACCTTTTTTGCGTTTTATGTGAGCATACTTTACGCCAAAGCTCAAGCTCAAGTGCGCCGAAAGTGGAAAATATTTGATATTTTCTTATTTTAGTCGCCTGATCGACGGTAAATTTTTTTTCATTTAGTTAACGGTTATATTCTGTTTTTTGCGCCAGTAACTGACGCCGCTCTCAGCTGTCAAGCATTTGCCGCACAATTGTCAACACTCGCGTGCAAAAAAATACCAGCACCGTGTGGTACCGCAAAGAATCGACGTGCAACGTATGTTTTCGGCAATAATTTCAATATATGTATGTATGTACACCAGTAATGATGAAACTCATACCAAATTACTTACTACTTTAACTTTATTATATTTAATATTTCAACAATGCGTAAAAAAAACTAATTACAATTAATATTTGAAATATTGACATTAACTGCATATTTGTTTATGGTTGCGTTATTTAAAATGCGTACGCAACAACAAAAATACAAAATGTGAAAAACCAAAGAGCAACGGGCATACAAACCAATGTTTAAACTACAAGAACAAAAACAAAATTACTTGTATCATTAATGCAAAAATAATAACAAATTAAAAGAAACTAAAATGAAGTAATGAAGACAAAACAATACGCTGGAGAACACAGTGAAAAACTAATCATACAAACTGCGTTAAACTACAGTGGCGAGCAAATAAATAAATTTCGTGGGTTTATGAACTTTTATATTTATGTTTTATGTTTTTCAAATACAACAAATCTGTATGTATGTATTTTGCAGAGTATAAATTGTATTTAATATTTGTTATAAATATGTATTTATTTGATTTATTATAACAATTTTCATTTGAAACATTTAATTTGCTGAGCGAAAATTGTATTTAAGTAGTGAAAAAATAAATATAAGCAAGTTAATGTTAATAAAAAGAAACTTATACGAGGCACATGTATGGGAATGTTAAATTTGTATTAGAAAAATCGTGTTTTTGCTTGAAATGGCGTGCATAACTACATATATGCATATATATAAATATAAATATACTACATAAATATATATGAAACTAATCAGTGCGTACGCCTAAYTAATTAATTAATTAAATGCCAAAACTACAAAAAATATTTAAACAAAACAATATAGGAAGAATTGAAAATGTTTCACTTTGCTTTGACTTTTTCCTTACTCAAATATTTTGAAATTGCGATTTCTTTATGTTAATGTAGATATTGTATGTCCAACAAGATTCAACAATCATTAAAAATAAACGAATGACAAAATTTCCTTAGCCAACTTTACGAACGCTTTCAAAATTTCAACGATTATTTTAGGACAAAGTTAAGAGCGAGTGTTGGAACAGAAAGAAATTTTGCAAGGAAAAAGATTTATTTTCATACATTAGTAACATATTACGTAAAAGTATTACGTATGCGGTTTGTTAATGAATGCATTAATTTTGCACAATACTGTAGTGTCGGGCATCGCCATAATGAACTGCTTTAGTCCAGTGTATGTAACGGTAAACACGTGGAATATTGACTGCATTAATTTCGCGCAAGACTGTAGTGTCGGGCATTGCGAAAACGAACTACTTTATTCAAATGTGTTTAACGGTAAACACGTGGAATATTGACTGCATTAATTTTGCCCAAGACTGTAGTGTCGATCATTGTCGTATCGCTTTACGTTAGTGAAGTGTGTGTAACGGTAAACACGTGCAATGTTGACTATTAAACGTAACAGCAACAGCTGCTTCCTTTTTGTCAAACTTCATGTTGTTGGCAACGCTGTCCGAGTATTCGAAAACTCAGTGTTATGTGCATCGTGATAATTGCTTTGTTTTATTGTTTTGAGAAAAATTATTTAGGGAACTTAACAATTTTGTTTATTTTTTGCTTTTTGTTTCGATTTCTTTTGAGAAAAGCGAGCTGGCAACTTCGCTACAATATCTACAGCTGTTGTATACCGCATAACGGCACTATAGCAAGATCTGTAACTAAAACTTGAGTTGAAAGATTTTGTATGAAACCATAAAGTTTTTTTCTTCACAAAAAAAAAAAAGAATAATGGCAACGGTTCATAGGCTAACCGCACAGTGTCACAAACTGCTAAAAAATTTAAGTAAAGTGTTAAATGCAATTATAAAGTATGAATTCCAATTAATAAAAAGCTAACAATTTTGAATACTGGTTATTGAGTATTTTCCAACTGCTCGTGGCACTTTGAAGGCTGTTGTGTTTTCTGTTGTTCTTTGCTGCCTCTATAAAGTTTCATTGGCATATACATTGTATATATATCGTCACCTAAAATGCAAAATAAGGTATCATCAAAAGAATCGAAATTCAATTTTTTATTGCTTACGATTCACTACATCATATTATATATAATTTGCATACAATTGTCAGTTTCCGCTAGCAGATATAACCGATATATGCATAACCATTTTATAACCAAAACTCAAGCTATGTTTCTGTGAATGGTTTCTATAATATGGTTTTTCCTCGTCTATCAACTTATGAAAAGTGATGTTACGTAATTTTGCAGTTTAGGTGACGATGTACATATACATATACCATATACGCATATGTATAATAAATATTTCTTCAGATATAAATGTAACTACTTGTTTGGACGCCGTGCGACCTATAGGGAAATTCAACATGCGAGTGACTTGTCTAATAAAAAAAAATTAAAAATATTTTAAATATTATTTGCTACTGCATTGTAGCTTATATGCAAATGATTTATGAAAATTTACAAAGTTATTTTAGAAAATAATTAGTTAACAGTTACCCAGGGGGTAGGATGGTCAATTATTTTCATTTCAATGTCTTCAGTTTCAGAACCTTAGTTTTTCGCTGAAACTGCAATTATGTTTGATGAAGCAGACAAGTTTGTTGTATCCGTATACAAAATATATACTTGTATTTGTAATATATGTACGTAATAAGAATTATGAACTCAAAACTACATTTCAAAACTTTCTCGCTGTTCTCCAATGAGAACTCAAACTCAAAGCTACTAAAGCGACCAGAAGCTTGTATCAAAAGCAACTTTTACTCAGTACAGTAAATAATTAAGGGAATTGTGCATAACTCCAAATACATATTAAGTAGCGACATGCGACAACATAAAAAAAAAACAAATATTCCCCAATAAGCTTTAGTATAATTTTCCGCGTTTAACGCTTAATCTTTCAGTAGAACGCAGGTAAATGTTAGATGGGCATTTCGTAAATGTTGCTCTAAAATTTTTAAAACAATTTTGAAATATGAATGTCAGTAGTTTGAACTACCTAATTACAGTTTTAAGAAATAACAACTTATAATGTTTCTAAATAAAGCTTTTTCAGCTGACGATTTTTCGAAAACTCCGCTGGTGAAAAGCATACTGCCAGCTTTAGCTCTTTCTATACTAACGTGTTTTTTGTTACTTTCCACTTCAAGCAAAGCAAAATATATTTTTACTTCAACGAAAAATTCGAATAAATAACTTTCAATTAAATTGCAGTAAAACAACTGAAAAAAAGTTCAAAATTTTTGCAAAAAAAATCGAATAAATTCAGTAAAACATTAAACGAATTATGTTGTAAAGGGAATAAACATTTAGTAGCAGCAGTCAAGAACAAAATAAATAATAATTACATACAAACCTACATACATAATACAAATCAACCCAATTCCATGGTAGTCAAAAAAAAGTAATTCCGAAACAAAAACGAAAATTGTAGTCATTGAAATTGGGAACAAAAGAAGCATATTTCAAGTGTATAAAAAAAATTTAAGAAATACAATACAAGCCCTGTGTATGGTAATACATACGTACACAAATTAATATGAATATTATATAAACGATAATAATATTAATTAATTTAATGATTAATTGCACCCAAATACATAAATATTTAAATAAATAAATAAAACTACAAAAAAAGAAACTTTTGACGCTTTTCATTTGATTACAAATGAAACAAGTAAGGCCGGCCTAGTTTGGGCGTAGACTATTATATTCGTATACAAGTAAGAAAGGGTACAATATTTGGTTCATTGAAGGGTAAGGGTAAGAATTCCGCAGTACAAGCGGCATGTTGTGCGCCCAAATCACTCCTAACTAAGCGCCATTCTTTTTCTTCTCCTTTACTGGCGTAGACACCGCTTACACGATTATAGCCGAGTTAACAACAGCGCGCCAGTCGTTTATTTCTTTTGCAAGGTGGCGCCAATTGGAGATTCCAAGCTCTCCACCAGATATTTCCAATGGAGTGGATCTCTTCCTCTTCCTCTTCTTCCTCCGGCGGGTATTGTGTCGAATATTTTCAGAGCTGTAATGTTTTCGTCCATTTGGACAACATGACCTAGCCAGCGTAGTCTTTTAATTTGCTGAAATTTTATGTCAATATTGTCGCTTATCTTATACAGCTCATCGTTCCATCGAATGTGATATTCACCGTGGCTAATGCGCAAAGGACCAAAAATCTTTCGCAGAACCTTCTCTCGAAAACTCGTAACGCCGACTAATCAGATGTTGTCATCGTCTATGCCTCTGCATCAAATAGCAGGAAGGGGATGA